AAAACAGTTAGTTCCCTCAGTTCACAACATTTCTCCTCTAGCTGTCTTTTTTTTTCAGCTCTACATTCAGCATCTGTGCAAATTTAGAGGTATTTGACTTTATCTGACATTCATATTCTTCGGGATAATTTGCTCTGCTCACTGTAAGTATACGGTTTACAAGTTATGTTAAGGATAATGCGTCTTTTGACGAAGCCTTTTTTCTTCTGTCCCTGTTTCAAATGTTCATTTCGCGAAGATTTCATGCCGATGCAACCGCACAGTAAAAAATCATGTAAATGGCGGTGCCTAGAAATTCCAGTGTCAAAACTGGAGATGAAGATCTGTAGACTGGGAACAAACAAAGATAGAGGCCACAGCTTATTCTCTGATAAATTTTCACGTTGCTATTACCATTAGACACTAAGTATGAAATCTCCGGTTTTTCTGAATACTAAATTTGAGAATCGATATTTTTAACACTACCCATGAACAGATCTTAGTTTTTCTTTTTTTTTTGAAAATACATCGTTGCTCTTTCAAACACATGTTTTGATTTGCGGTTGTCTTTCACACTGCCTGTTTTAGAACAGTCTCTGCGAAACTATCGATAAGTCAAAAAATCCTGTTATTTGTGAATGAGTTCTGTTGTGGAACCAGCGCATCGCAGACAGCTCAAAACATCAATCGCAAGGATGTGTCTACTGAAAGCACTGAACCTACATGGTTAGAGAAATTTCGCTCCGGCGATTTTAATCTTGGAAATGAATCACATCGGAAACCTGAGACCTGGGTGAGTAACGATGAGCGGATACATCTTGTACTATGCGAGAACTGGCAGCAAAAGTTTGCCACTGTTATTTCAACACTATTGCATCATTTGAAACAAATCGGCAAAGTAAAGAAGCTGGACAGAAGGGTTTCTTATGAATCAAACGCGAGTCAAAAGTCATCTTGAAGTTTGCCTTTGTTTCCTATCATAGCATAAAAGCAAGCTAATTTTACATTACATCTTTTCGACAGTCGCAAGTATTCAGGATAATGGTTGGACAAAGATGAAGTGCCAAAACACAGTGCAAAAAAGAACATTCACGGGAAAAATTAATGGTTTCTGTTTGTTGGTCTAGCGCTGGTTCAATGCACTACAGCTTCATGAGACCCGATCATTCCATCACTACGGATGTCTAATGCAGCCAAATGAACGAAATGATCAGGGAATATGTGATTAAACAGCCGAGACCGGTCGATAAAAACGGGACATCTTCTTGCAAAACAACGCTCGATCACATGTTCAAACTAC